ATGAGTGATATGTATTCAATAAGACAGAACTTTATTGGAAAACAACCAAAAGAAAAAAAAACTATCGAGATACAATTTAAAATGCATATATCACAAAATGGATTAAAAAAGAAAATTTACAACTCTCGAGTCTCGATCTTGTGTTCGATGAAATTTTCTTCAACTTTCTCCTCGTGAATCGTCCCCAACGAAGGCGAAGCTGAAACCCTCACCGGATAAATAATAATCGCCGGCAAAACTTCGAACGGTCCGATCATTCTCGCCAGGTTTTTTTTGTTTTGTTTTTAGACTGTCTCTTCGAATTAGACTTGTGAAGTATAGTAGCTTTCGAGTTTGCTGAGAAGTACAAGTGGAAATTATTGGCAATGGTAATATTTATAAAGAAATGAAGAGTAATCATTATGTGGTTTTGTATAAATTATTAAGTTATTAGTAGAAAACTAATAAAACGAGTGGAGCAAATTAGTGGTTTTGGTTTGATAAGACGTAAAGCAAAAGTCACGTGTGGAAATTTGTAAGAAGACGACGTGGTCTACTACTTATCGCACGTGATAGTTATGTTCCACACTTATTGACGCGCTTTGGGCTTAAGCAAATAAATAAAGGATGCATAATTTGCGAATCTATATTATTAAATGTTATATTAAGGAGTAAAATGTTAAATTACATACTTGTGGTTAAGAACTAATCTCACCAAACATGATTCTGACTTTTCCGGTTTATAGTTTGGTTCGATTTTTCAAGATTCTGATGTTTTGGTTTGTGGTCTGGCTAACAAGATATTTTTGTCTAAAATGTTACGAAAAGACCTAGATTTTTTTTTAGTGTATGTTCTTTTATTTGTTAGTATGAAAATTGAATATTTGGATCTCTTACGCTGCCCCGGTTCGGTTAGAAAATATCTAGAGATTGAACTTAATTATCATCGACTCGAAACTGAACATGTACGTGTATGTGTAATTTAGGATTTGATAATCGAGCTACAAGCTTAAGATGTGAAAGTTCCTTGAAAATATCACAAAGAAATACATCATGAGATATGATTATACAAAATATACAATACAAAATCTCATCTTACACATTTATAGAAGCAACAAAATCATTAAAATAGCCATAAGAATCTATATAAAACCCCGAAGACCACCAATATCAAAGAAAAAAAATAATTTTATCTAGAATAATCTATTTTAAAAAAAAAATAGCTAGTATAATTCTTAAAAAAAAAATTGTTCATGTAATCTGTTTTGAATTCTTTTGGTTCCATAATGCCAAAATTGCCCTTGGACTATTTTGAGAAAACTAAATGTTTTAAATTCATAATTTTAAACTAATAAATATAATTAAAATTTTCAAAGTTAAATACTATTTTTCCGGAAACAAAAATATATTACCCTAGATAACTTTACCCTATCTATATTTTACTCTTTTTCAACTTTTGCCGTCGGCTTTCCACGAATTCTTTTCTCGCCGATTTTTCAACTTTCGCCSMRSG